AAAAAAAAAAAAAAAAAAAAACATAAACATAAACATAAACATTTCAGGCACAAAAACAAAAAAAGAAAAAAATTTCCAGAGTTTTTATCACATTTTTTTTGTTTTTTCATTTCTCCAGTCGACCAAATAATTTTTACTTTCACGTACACAATAATAAATAATTTAAACTCTTTTCTTTTAGTACGAAATCGAAAATATTTCATTTGGAATGAGTTCAATTACACGTGAACCATAATTAATAGAAAAAAGAAAATTTTTTTTTTTTTTTTTTTTTTGGCATTTTAGAGAAATTTTAATTTTGGCCACGGGTCAATTTGGCTCCTGAGTCAACGTGTCCTTTATTTTACCACAAAATTTTTTTTTTTTTTGTGCCTAAAGTTTATATTTCGTTTTCGTCAAGGCTACTATTACGGGCTCTCACCGTTTCCATTTTTTTTTTTTTATTGGCTCAAACAATCGTCAGACAAACGCGTCCGACAACACAACACAAAACAACCGACATTAATTCGTTTGTTTTCCGAATTCTGTTTAAAAACGAAACAAGGAAACTCGATTTTTAATATTTACGCTGTAATACTAACAAGAACAAATTTAACTAAAAACAAACGAAATTTTTATTAGGGCTAACATAAATAATAATAATAATAATAATTTATGTTTTTTTTTTTCTATCGAATTTTTATAAACGACGCCAACCGTTTATTTTTTTGACGTTTTTTTTTTTTTTTTTAAATTTGAACCGAATTAAGGGTAGATTGTTAACCGCCATTATGACAAAAAATGAGGAAATAGTTTTTGTTATTGTTGTATAAAGTTTTACTCCGGGTTGTTTTTCTTTTTCCCCGTTTTTTTTTTTTTTAAATCCCAAAGGAGGAAAAGGAACCGAGTTAAAGGAGCGGGGGATGGAGGAGGATGGGGAGGAGGAGGAGGCGTGGGAGCGTTCGTGAGGTCAAGGTTGGGTTTTTTTTTTTTTTTTCGTTTTAATTCAAAAATTTATTTATTTATTAAAATTGATTGAGAGATAGTTATATATAGTAGTAGGTTAGTTGTTTTAGTAGTTTCTTCGTTCATAATCATTTTTATTTTTTTATAAAAAATTTACTCGCGTAATTAAACGTTAATAAAATATGTACGGGTAATAATAATAATAAGTATACCGATGACGAATTTTCCCAAAGGAAAAGAATTTTAATGAAATGGGGAAAAGTTTAATAAAAAAAACGTCGCGGCGTCGCTACCCCGAAAACTTTTTTTTTTTAAAAAACCCGTAAAAATAATAATAATTTTTTAAAAATGTTTAATAATAATAATAATAATAATAATAATAATGAAATACGTTGTTATAAGATAAGTATTAAAATGAATAATGGCCTTATATAAGTCGGGGTCCCGTTTTATGCTTTTTTTTTTTTTTTTTTTGGAATATTTGATGAAGAAAAGTTAATGAAAAAAAAAAGGAAAAAAAAAAAAAAAGAGTTTATTTTATTTAATTTTTTTTTTATTAATGTGTGCGCGCTTGCTAGCAGAAGACAATGTTTTTTTTTTTTTTTGTCAGCTTTAATCGTTAATTTTTTCCATTCTTAACTTATTTGAATTGCCATAAAGGTAAAAAAAAAATTATTATAACAAGAAATTCACACAAAATCGATACGAATTAAATTATTATTATTATTATTAAATTTTTGGCAGTTCAAATTCGATACCAAATTTAAAGAGAGTAAATGAAAAAGAATAAAGTAATAAAAGTAAAATGGAAACAAAAAATTTTTCTGCACGATTTTGCTGACGCTCATATATATTGTTATGTTTTAGAGATTGCCCGCTGTTCTCAGTCGGATAGGGGTCATCTTGGCCAGTCCCTTGGTAAGAAGGCCTTTGGTATGAATAAAATCGTACCATTTACTACTACTACTATTTGCTTTGCTAATAATATAAGTATACATATGTATATATATATATATATATATATATATATATATATATATATACATACGTACCCGAATGTTGATGTATGCGTATATATATATGTATATATATATAAATATATATATATAAATATATATATTCGTATTATTATATAAATATGAAGCTTATTTTGCCAGATTAAAACTTTTCTTTTTTTTTTTTTTACAATTTTTTTTTTTTTTTTTTTTTATTATTATTAATTGCGGGTTTTTTTTCAAAAAAAAAAAAAAAAATTCGTTAAACATATTATTCATTTTTTTTTTTTTATTTATTACATACATCACGCTCCCCCACCGTGGAGAGCAGACAGTCTCAGTTGCTTAAACATTTTTTTTTTTTTTACAAATTTTTTTTTTTTTTTTATAAAAACCCGGGTGCTTTTTTTCAAAAAAAAAAAAGATTTCTTAAAACAAAATACTCCTTTTTTTTTTATTTATTAATTACACACCCCACGCCCCCACCGGTTAAAAAAAAAAAAAAAAAAAAAAATCCGGGTGCCCCTCCCCCCCTTTTTTTTTTTTTTTTTTTGGAAAAAAAAAATTAGAAAATTCGTTTTTTTTTTTTTTTTTCTTTTGATTAACAGCTTATTTCAATTATTATAAATTTTTTTTGCCGATTCGATGGGGATTTTTAATATTAATATATATATTTACTTGTAAATAATGATAATAATAATAATAATAAATAATGCCTGTTTTGCATAGTTTTTACGTATATATATATATATATATATATATATATATATATATTAAATTTTTTTTTTAGACGTAAGTATATATATTTTTTTTTAATAATTTATTTATTTATTGATTTTATATATATATATTAATAGTATTGAGCATGGTTGTATTATCGTTATTATTATTATTATTATTACTATTATTACTATTATTATTATTTTCATTATCGTTTATTATTACCATCGTAAAAATTTATTTATTTATTTTATTTATTTATTTATTTTTTTTTTTTTTTGTACGTAATGGTTTTTTTTTTCTTAAGACTGTTTTATCTGTAGTCTGCTGCTACAAAAATTGATTTTTTTTTTTTTTTTTTTTTTTTTGTAAATAATGCGTGTATGTTGCGTATTGTATGTGCGTAGAAATTTTTTTTTTTTTTTTATAATAATGAGATTTTATTTCAAAGGAAGGATGTAATGTCGTCAACACTTTCGTAAACGAAGACATTTTTAAATTTTGACTAGTGTTAAAACGATTGTATAAACGACATCACGAAATTTTTTAATTAATCAAATTTGAGAGACGGAGGGAAGGGGAGGGGGAAACAGCAGTCGTAGTGTTTATTTTTTTTTTTTTGTCATGTCGAATTTAAGAGCCGACAGCGAAAAAAAATAATAAAAACGCAAATGCCTTTTTTTTTTTCTATCCTGATTTTACGAGATTTAAAAAAAGGAAAAGAAAATGGGGAAAAAAAAGGTATCCGGAAAATGCGTTTATATTATTTTTATTATACTTTTCCATTACCAAAACGGGAAAAAATTTCAAACAGACTTACCGTTTTTTTTTGTACATTGTCATCACACAGGGGAATATCATTATCATCATCATCATCATCATCATCATCATCATCGTCATCAAAACGTCACGTTTTCATTATTCATTTTTAACGTAAAATTTTTTTTGTCGTTGGTTGGTTTTCCGGAAAAGACGTAAACGAGAAAAATCAAAAAAAAAAAAAAATTTTAATTAATTTAATTTACTAGAAACACGTGTGTTTAAAAATAATTATTATTATTAACTTTTTTACTTTACTTTCCCTCTCCCCCCCACGTGGCTCCCACATTTATTCATATTTGATTTAAAAACGAAACGATATTAATAATAATAATAATAAAAGATGAAGGAAAAGTATAAAAAAAAAAAAAAAAACGACGTTAAGAAAATTATTTCAGACGTTATTATAAACAAGTACAGGTTGTTTAAATTACGTGGAAAATTTTTATTGGAAAACTTTTTATAAACTCAGTCAGATTTTCTTCGTTTTTATTTTCTTTTGTTTTTTTTTTTTTCTCGGTAATAATAATAATAAGACGGTTTTTTTTATTAAGGTGTCTAATTTTTAATAACTTTTGCATATAAAAAAAAATTTTTTTTTTTTGTGGGGGCGGGGACGGGGACGGGAGGGAAGGACGTGGTGGAAAAAATTTTATGGGGATCGTTTATTGGGAATTTTAAATATTAAATGCGAAGGATGGGAAAGCGAAGTTCGATACAATGGAATAATCAAAAAGGATTTTATTGTATATAATATGGCGGATTTCATATAATTCTCCCAATTGTATTTCTCTCGGGGGGAGGGGGGGACCCGCGACACGTTCGAAAATTAATTAATTTTTTTTTTTGCAACTTTTGGGGGAAAGGAGGGAGAGAGTATTTATCATTCGATGGGATTATTATTGATGATTAGCGTGTCGAACGTATTTAAATTTTATTTTATTTCAAGTGTTAAAAATTTTATTGTTATTATTATTATTATTATTATTATTATTATTATTATTGTTGTTATTGTTATTGTTATTGTTGTTATTTAAAGCGTCGAAAAATTTATTTTTACGATTGTTTTATATGGCGTCTTTTTTTTTTACACTTTTCGTTCGTTTTAAAAAACTTTTATTTTGCTTATCGTAAGAATCGACTTTAATGAAATGACGCTTTGGGAAAAACTTTATTATCATTATTATTACTATTATTATTATTATTTTTGATCATTTAAGTCGTTTCGAAACTCGAATTTTATTTTTTTTTTGGGGGGGTGTTTCCAGGAAAAATAAATAAAATTCGCGTAATCGTGTCTCAAACCAACCGACAGAATGGGTTCTTTTTTTTCTTCTTTCACGACTACCTTCTCTCTCTCTCTCTCTCTCTCTATCTATTTATCTATCTATCTATCTATCTATCTATCTATCTATCTATCTATCTATCTATTTATCTATCTAATCTCTCTCTTTCTCTTTTCCAAACCTTTCGTTTTGAAATTTGGCGTTTTTAAATAATTTTCACCGGTTTATTTTCATTTGTTTCCTTTTTTTCCAATCCCCCTTTCCGGTTTTATTTTCGGCCCTTTCTCTAATTTCTTCACGGATTTTTTCTTTTCCCCCTCCCCCCGCTTTTCGAACAACAAAACTTGACATTGTACGATAAATTCATGTTGTTTGTAAAATAGGAAAACAATCAACGAACGAAAAATAATTTATAATTAATGCATCAAAAAAAAATAGAACCCAAAAAACCAAAACCAAATTATTAAAGT